AAGATATCTTCAGCAGTGGTCCACGCCGACACAGCGATCCACCTGGCACGTGGACGCCGGCGCAGGTTGCAACGCGGCTGCCGCTAGTCAACAGCTGACAAGCAGCAGTGAGCCGCGGATTCTGACAGAGCTTCATGATGCAGAGCTAAGAAGCGAAGTTCAGGCTCTCAAATCCTTGGTTGCACGCTTGGACGGCCCGCCTAGCTCTTCTGATGCACTGTCTGCGATCAATACCAGTCAGCAAATCAATGACACGGGTAAGGACACCGAAGCTCGATTAGCCTCCATTTCTGCCATCCAGGGTTCGCAAGGTCTTACCTTTGCCAAGCGCATTCTGCGGCTACAAATCGACTTTCTCGAAGCGATGTGTAAGGAAACTGCGATGGACGATGAAGGTTATCTGCAAGATCTTGCGGCGTCTAAGCCACTGAAGGAGTCGCGTAGACAAAGGCTCTTGTCCCTCACCGAAGGCCAAATGCATGGAGCATTCCAAGCTGGTTCCACGTCTCTAGCCTACTCTGTCAGCAAAAGGCTCGACGCCTCTACCATCAGTAGTGAAGAAGCGGTACATGAGGCTCTAGAGACGCAGTCCGAAATAGAAGTAGAGCCAGCGCTTGCTGAGACCCATGCGTTGACAGACAAGGTCACCGAGATCGAGCTTGCCGATGAGCTCGCGTCGCGAGGCGAGCGCACTCCGCCCTCTGTAGGGAAAGCTGCGCCATCGAGCGCAGAGGTGGCTGGTGGGACGGAGGATACTACGCCAGCTGAGGAGGCAAACTTTGAGGTCGCACAGTCCCAGCAAGGTCAGCTCGTGTCTCCGCCTGCGAAGCAGGAGCGCCCACTTACCACCCTGCTTCAAGAGATGACTCAAGCGCATGACGTGATCACCACAGGCTACAAACGAGCAACGCGTCCGCTCCCGCCCAATCTTTCGCAGACCGCGGCAGAGCTGTGTTCCTTGCATGGTGTACCAGTCATCTGGACGGGATCGGGCGTGGCAGGTGTCCAGAGACCTGGAGAAGCCGAAGCGCTGTGCGCAGAGATCGTCAAGCAGGGGTTTGCAGATGCTGTGGTGTCCGAAGATAGCGATACACTGCTGTACGACGTTCCGATGTTACGAGGCGCTCTTGGGGGCCCTCTACAGATGGTGGACGCTCAAGCCGTTCGTCGAGCATTCTTTCCTCCTGAAAGTCTTGCGAGCGCGTCGAGCGCTCATCACATACAAGAAATTGGCACGCAGTCGCACGACGTGGACTCAACTTCAGACAGTCCTCTAGTATCGGTCACTGATGGTGCAATCAGTCTCGAGGCGGATATGGAGAGTTCTGCTCGCTTCATGGAGCTTGCCCTTCTGTGCGGCACCGACTTTAACAGGACAGTGCCAAGCATCTCCATCAAGCGAGGCTTGCAATTCATCCGTGAATACGGTCGGATCGAGCGCATCTTGCAGCCGGCTGAAGGCGACAAGGAGCTCCTGCGCTCGCCAATAAAGGAGAAGAGCACTCAGCTGTTGCCCGAGCAAGGGAGAAAGGTCAAGGTACCGTTGCCCCCCGCCAAATTCGTACCTCCGGACGGGCTTTCCATCGCGGAGTACAAGCAGGAGCTGACGAGCGCCAAGCGAGTCTTCAAGAGGCGGCCGACCTTGCATAGGGACAGGAAGACTTTGCAAGCTTGGTCCGCTGCTCCTCGTTCGCAGGACTGGAATTCTTCCGACGGAGAGGCTCTTGCGGGATTTTGGAAGCGTATACACGTAATAGATGAGGACGATGAGCGAGCTTACGCTATGCTCGACGGTCACAGTGACAGCGAGGTTGCTAGGCGTCGACGACCTGACACGCCCGGCTCTTTTGGCAAGAACATGTTCGATGACTCACCTGGAGACTCTCAACACACAGCAAGCTGGAATCCTGAGCGCCAATAGCGCACAATCTACGGAGCAGCTTTCGTCCAGAAATTCAAGCTGTGCGGCGCTGCATGCTTCGTTTCTCCGAGTCTCAATCGTTCGGCATTGTTCATACTGTTACCAGTCTTCCGCCACATTTGCAACCCCCTGCACTCAATTTGCTTCCACTCTTACCCAAATGCATCACCATCAATGATGGACACAAAACCAAAAAATCGACTGACAAGCTCTTGTTGCCCATGCAAGTATCGTGACAGGTATGAATTGAAAATGGCTGTGTACGACTGAGCGAAGCACAGACGAGAAATCTGCTCGCTTAGAACAGAACGGCAAGATGACGGGCGAAAATGATGCTCGGGTGCGCAACGACTAGTCAGAGGTCGTAAGTGAGCGACTCATTCCGCCATGGAGGAAGCCGCGCCATTGGTTGTTTCCTCGCTCTCCAGCAAAGAGTATTCTGGTAAAGCCGCAGGGAAGAAAGGGGGTTCAGCACCCTTCTTGCCTTGAACATCATCGAAAAGGAACAGCAAAACTTACGTCGTGTTAAAGAGCACTCTCCTCCGGTCTCGAGATCAATGTTGTACGAGTAGAAGAAACCCTCACTTGTCGCCACAAGTACCTGTGGAGTCGTGCTGCTGAGCGCGACGACCGAAGATACTCCTGCAGTGGGCAATTTCAAATACGCAAAGTCCCTGCTCGGTTCCCACTGCAGAGGAGAGACTGGGATT